CCACTCCCCCCTCCATGGTGGGTAAATTGCTTACTAACAGGAGATTCCAAAATATAATGCAGCACAAGGTGAGTATGGAGCAGCCTTAAAAGATTGAATGTACAGAAAAGAGAGATTAATGAAGGGTAACAATGAATGGAAGATTGCAAGAACGCAGCACCGTCGAATGTGCGCTATACGTCCCTCAAAATAATCCACGAAGATGCCATCAATGGATAAAAAAAACAGCATGCTCAAACACAGCAACACCGGTCGTTTAACACAATTGTGGATGTTAGTTGGGATGAATTGTGCTCTGAAAAACGATGAATCATGAGACTTATCTCCTACTTCAGAAGTTATTAGAATACCACACACGCTTCTGCCACAGAACCTGCCACTCATCGCTCTGCTGTGCGATGAGTGGAAGAATAAAAATGAAAAAAATGGTAGAATGGAAGAGAATCTCTCTTCACAATAGCAGTTGACGAAGCCACATCCTCACCTTTCGAAACACGATGTCAATTCGTATAGCATAGCGACAACAAATCGATTTTCTTGCGGATGTCCTAATGAACAGTAATTCATCAGTGTGCGCATGCTGCTTGGTTGCTCCACAGTGGGAACAAGTAAACGCCCAGAGATGAGAGGGCAACTGCAATGAATTCCTATTTCAGTCAGCTAGTTTGAACTTGCAAACTGTTCAAAGGCGGAGTTTGCCATTAGAAGACAGCCAATTAGGATCAGAGTAGTGGTGACCAGTGGTGCTGCGATAAAGAATAAACCGTGAAACCCCAGAAATGGGAACCCTTTCTCACCCGTACTTTTTGTATTGATGCGATTCTCATCGGTGCTGCTCTCTTCAACGCTAACGTCCCCTTTCTGCTAAACAGCCCAAAAAACTACGGCGAGTGGTCAGTCAGTGAGCGTGCCACGGCAATAGCGGGGCGGGGACGGCCATGCTAGTACGTCGGGAACAGTCTTTTTTGCGAACTGTATGTCGGCTTGCACCCTCAGGGCTTCGCTTTCTTTCCACTAGGTATGTTCTGAATTCCTTCGACCTTCGACCTAATCCGAATTATCGTTGGTCGGCGGTGTAAATCTCCCGTCGCTCGCAGCGACATCGCTCAAGCGATCCGTCGCTCCTGCAATTGGTGCACAATCGCTCCAATCGCAAAGTCTGACATCGGCCACTAGTGCCGAAGCAGTGTTATACGCTGTATGCTTTATGCTATATGCTATATGCTATAGTGCTGGCGACTTAGCGAAATGCAGTGTTTGGCCTTCCAGAAGGATTCCTCAACCTGCCAACTTGGACGTTGCCCACCTCCACATCAGGTAAGAATCGGTCGATTATCAACAGTATGATTGCGTTTTGTCGTCAAGCGTAGGGCAATGTGATGATATTGCACATGACCATTATGGA